CAAGATTTCGGGCAGATCAAACAGACACTGCACAGAAAATGGCTGATGTTTGTCCCTTGTAGTTGTTTGAATAACAGATGTCCACCATCATCTCAGGCTCATAAACTCTTTGTCCATGATTGGTGGCACTGTTTGGTGAGGTTTAGAAGCCATGACCTCTGCAGTGAGATCATTGCTTTGTCAAATTCTGAGAATAAAAATCCCTGAGCTATTTCCAATTTATTCTATTTGTGCTTGCAGTCCATGAGGTGAGCTCTCAGCTTCCTGGTCCCACTACACTGCCTGTAGCTTGCTGAAGTGCCTCCCTGCCATGATAGAGCATAAACCCTAATAAATTGTTTTCTTCATACATTGGCTTGGACATGGTGATTTATCACAGCAATAGAAATAAAACTAATATATTTCTGAATAAATATTTTAGGAGGCAGATCATTTATGGAGTAAACTGAACAAATCCAAATGGGGAATCATCAGAGAGAAAGGGAAATTCCTGCCTTTAGAAGGCAAAAATAGTTCTGAGAGCCATGTCAACTTTCAAAAGTATCACCCAATTGAGTCTAGGAGTATACTGAAGTAGGTGTGTGATTCTGTGCCAACCATTGCAGCCATTATATTCCAACATCAGCAGATCATACATACTAAAAATCCCCAACTACACTCACATGTGTTAAGTGATCTGAGATGTCACATTTCTCCATGACATGTGGTAACTCTGAGCTTTGCCAGACAGAAGAAGTGCCCCTATGGCATACTTGGTTCCTGCATGGACCTGGATTGATGTGCATGAGTCTTGTATATTATTAGAGGGACCAGCCTTAATATTATACATCCCAGGGGCTCAGGAGAGAGAACTACTAACAGCGGGGACTATTTTCTGGAAATAGAATCTCAGCACACTGAGCTCTATGGTCCACTTGCTTTAATTCCTCTGGCATAACATCCTATGTACACAGCTTCAGTTCCATTCTTGTGCCTAACTCCTTTCTTGCTTGATTTCTCTCTATACTTATCTATTGCTCCCTCTAAGTTCTATCTTAATTCTCTTGTATTAATTCTGCCTCATCTAGGTCCTTTTCAGCTTTTTCTTACCCAGCTAGTACTTCTCCATCTGGCTCTTCCTCATCTTCCATCTCATTCCTCTAGTACTTTCTTCAATCTAGTTCTTCCCCATCTCAGTTTGTTCCTTTCAAGTTCTTACCCATCTAGTTCTTCCATTCTCTTTTCCCTTCTCCATGCTGTTCTCTCCCTATCTACAAAAAATACCTGCCTTTTTTCCCCCTGGGCACATGGTTCCCTGCCTTCTCAGGAATGTTGTTTTATCTCTCACCTTGATATGTAAGAACCTCTTTTGTTCTCAAACTGCTCTGGAGAACCACTAGGCTTCCTCAAGGCCAGGGGATGGTCTGAGCTTCATTAGCACAGGAAACAAAGCTAGGCTTCTCCCACCAGCTTGTCTCCAACTCAGCAGAGCAGTTAGTAACTTAGTAGGTTCAGCAGGTCTAGAGAGCTGAACTGTTTACCAATTGGTCTGAGCATGCAAGGATTTCATAGCAGAAGACAGCTGGAATATTAAAGGCTAGGTAACACCAAATATTCATAATCAATGGCTTTGCATTTTGACAGACCCTTGGCCTGTCAAAGTTCAGCTCTAATACACAGCTGAATCTCTATGATATATTCTTGCCGCCCACAAGACATGAGCAAGCACAGGATGACATGGCCAACCTAGGTGTTGGTAGAGGTGGTTTTATGTCATGAAACTGAAAGGATTTGAGGAGTCTGTCTCTGGCCCTGTGTAAATACACAGAATTTACTCACAGGTAACATTTATATTGACTGTGTCACATTATGTTGCACTCATTGGGTCCTAGGTTACACACTCATAGCATACTAAGTCAGTCTTAAGGACATTGAAAAATTGAAAGCCCTGTCAATCTCAGACAGCATCAACCTAACACCCTTCAAAGGTTCTAAATACTTATCCACCACATGGTAGTTTATATCCTGAGACTCAGGTTCACATTTATGCTACTAAGTCCTCACCCTCCACTGACTGGGAATTGTTCTTGTAGTTATCTATAACGGTGCAGTGCAGACAACAGAGAGGAGATTGCCCTGTGGGGGACCTCTGACACTAGCAAGGGTCTCATTCAACTAGTGTTGGCCTGTCCCTGTCAACCAGAGTATGAAGTAAGTGAGAAGGTGAATCACAGGAGATGCAAGGTAATCTGAATGCTCCAAGAGGGTGGGCCCTCGTTATGAGAGTGAAACAGACTGGTTACATGGGATAGGAGCTACAGAAGTTGATGATAGGCATCCCTAGGAGGATCGTACAGCCCAAATTGCTGTGTCCCTCAAGATGCATTGAACTCCATGGCTCAGTATGATCCAGTGCCCTCCAAAGCTTTGCTAAGACTGTACTAAAGATAGATGATGATTAGAGTTCCCGTGTGGCTTCACTGGGTAACCTCACAACCCGTCCTCAGGACTTGATGTGTGAACAGAAATCTCAACCAGGAGACCAGCAGCAGGCCTGCTTTCAGATCAGTGGTCCAGGTGGACCACAACACGAGCCATTCTGCTCAGGTGGTTCATGATGACTGACATAAGCCACTGGTTACCTAAGGATGAAGCATGAATCTAGGAATCATCTAAGAATGTGAAGGATTAGAGCAGGGTTTCAACAGAACTATGTTTCCCATGGGCTATAATGCCCCTTCCCAATTATGTGTGGACCTGTAGAGAGCTTTTGTAAAGTTCAGATGGATAGTGACTATATGACATATAGAACATAAAAGCAATAACTTGCTGAAACTGGAATGATGGACCTGGTGTGCTCAGCATGTGTGCTTGTTTTGCTGTAGCTCATAACATAAGATCTAGACACCTGGGGAACCTCAAGTAATTGTCTCCTTAAGTTTGACCTGTGGGTACATTTGGAGACTATTTACTTGTTACAAATTGATGTGTGAGCACCCAGCACACCTTGGATATTGCCATTCCTAGGCATGTTTTCCCAGGCTATATAAGGAGAAGGTAGCTAGGGAAATCCTGAAGAGTTTTCCAGGAAGCACCATTCTTCCATGCTCTCTACTTGACTTCCTGTTGGTTTGAATAATGATACAAATAAATAATAATCTTTTACAAAATCAATGGATCAAAAGTTGACTCTTTGAACTGATTAACAGTTTTGACAAACATTAATCTGATTTTCTTTATTTTTAAAAGATTAACATTATTGCCAGGTGGTGGTGGCACACGCCTTTAATCCCAGCACTTAGGAGGCAGAGTCAGGAGGATCTCTGTGAGTTTGAGGCCAGCCTGGGCTACAAAGTGAGTTCCAGGAAAGGCACAAAGCTACGCAGAAAAACCACATCTCAAAAACCAAAAAAAAAAAAAATTAACATTATTAGTACTAAAAGTGAAATTTGACACTTTATGTTCCATTTTCAGAATTCTAAGAATTCCATGAGTACTCAATAGTTATTTGATAATTGTTGACTGACCTAGATGAAACAGACACATTCCAAGAAGCCCAGAACCTACAGAGATAGAAGCATGAAGAAACACAAAACTGATGCCATTTCACAAACATGAACAGTCTTTTTGTTTGGTTTGGTTTTTCAAGATAGGATTTCTCTGTGTAGCCCTGGCTGTCCTGGAACTCCCATTGTAGACCAGGCTGGCCTCAAACTCACAGAGATGATCTGCCTACTTCTTTACTACTTTACTCCTAAGTGCTGGGATTAAAGGTGAGTGCCACCACCCCTAGCTAAAATGAACAGTTGTTAAGAATGAAACAGGCAACCTAGGAATAGAATAATTCCCAGTGCATTTGGGGAACACATGAAAACACACAGCCAATTCTGTATTCGGGGGGGGGGGGGGGACACTGAGCTTTTCCTCTAAGACCTGGATCAACACAAGGATGCTGCTGTGGCCACATCTGTTCAGTATTCCTTAGGAGTCCTAGACAGAACAATTAGACAAGACAAAGAAGTGAACATGGTCCATCATTCAGCTGTAACATATGTCTGTAGATGACTTGAAGTTATCTGTAGAAAATCCTTAAGATTCTACAGAAATTTGTGAAACTGGTGAGCACGCCCACCCATCTTAGCCCTTCTTCTATAAATTAATATTGACCACAAATAATTGGATATACTGTTTTGTCACAGGCATAGAGAAAGAAATAGATGTGGTTGCACAGGGCTGGAGGGAATGGGACTGGATTAACAAGGCTTTGGGAATGGACAATGGTGATGGTCACATGAACATATCCATATGTTCATGCCCCTTAGTTGCCCACTTCAAAATAGCCAAATGGGAAATCCCATATATGTCTCAAAAAGTGTTGACAGGAAAAGGAACCTTGTGTAATGTCACCCTGTCAATGCCACTCTCAAGTTAGAAGCAGTCCAGGTCAGCCTTTTGACATGTCATGTTTTTTCACATGTGTACCTAAAATAAACTGTGGATCAAAACTTTTTAGTAACAAGTTATATCTGTAGGTAAAAAGGACAGTCCCTTCTCCTGTCACTCTTCCTCACTTCACATAAATGACTATTGTCTAGGCAGCATAGTGTGAATGAGTTCTACGTGGAATGTATTTGGATACAGGAGAGGATGCATTTCTCTTCATGCAAACACTGCAGCATGTTAACAGGGGACGCAGAGCATCCAGAAGTTTGGGGGTTCATGAAATGAATTTCCATGGATTCTGAGAATTGTCTATATATTTAATCCAAACCCCAAGCTCTTATCTCCTTTGCAATTCTGTTTACTATATTGATGTCTTCTTTTCCCTTTTGCAAACCAAGTCTCTGTTTATATCCTGGCCTGTCTTTAGACACACGTTTATGCCAGGATTACAGTCATGAGCCACCAAGTCAGCTGTACCTGAGTAGTACTTGACCATTTCTACCACAAAATTTTTCTCCTTGTTGTACACCATTGATAAAGAAATGCCCCTACTCTGCTGTAGTGTGAGAGCAGAGAGGTCACTCATTCATTACAGCAAGCCTGACTGGGAGACTGGTCATTGAACTGACTGGGTTGGAGACCTCACACTTATACTCTCCAGCATCCTCCATCCTCACAGGATCTATGCTGAGTCGGCACTTTTTCGGTGACAGGGTCATCCTGTCTGTGAGCTGCAGATTCTGGTTATTGAAGATCCATTGGGTGGAGATTCCAGTGTCAGCTGAGAGACAGGTGAACACAACAGAGCTCCGCACTGTAACTTTGGTGCTGGTGACTCGGATAAAGGGCTGTGTTACAGGCTCTGTGAAGCAAAAAAGGAGGGGGAAATGACAACAGCTCTTCAGAGATCTCAACAAGCCCCTCTGTAGTCAGTGGACACGTAATAAAGCCTCTAGGGTGGAGACATTGGGGCTATGACAATAGACAGTCTTCTTGTAGTTTGGATCTGCCACTCATGGCTTGTGTGACCCTGATTCAGCCTCTGGATTTCCTGAGACTATTTCCCTTCACCTGTGCACACAGTGCATGATCATTTCTTGTCTCTGAGTAAGCTTAGTTATGAACAACAGCATGACATTCAGATGGGGGATCTGCTCAACTCAGCAGCATCTGTTACTTTTTGCCTGCAGCGGAAAATTCCCTAGCCTGGACCCCTAAGGATGAAAAGATGACTAGAGAAATATCTCCTCTAGGGGTCCTCCTCTTGGGGACCCTGACCTTCCTGTGAAGTCTGTTAAGCCCATCATCAGAAGAGTTGGCTTATGTCCTGGCACCTGTCCACTGAGTAGGAGATGCCCAGGTGACCTACCTAACCGCAGCTGTCACAGTACTGCACAGCTGGTCCCGCACTCTATGGGTCTTAGACAGTCAACAACACCTTGTTCCCTGTCATCTCTAACAGGAAGTCAAACTCAAGCCCAAGAGAAGGGCTCTCCATGGTCACCTGGGGTTGAGTCTGAAACAGAGGTCTGAAGCCAGGGCTTCCTGATGCTCACTTCACTATGATGAAACCATAGATCTCTAAGATAGGCCAGGCCTGACTCCCAAGGGGTCTTGCTCAAGGCCATGATCCTGGTGAGAGCCCCAATATTCTGAGGCTGACTGACACCCTTGGGCTCAGTTACTGAACACAAATCCTTGTCTGTAGATTTCGTTACATGAGGGATTCTGGTCAAATTTACTATGTCTACCTGAAGTGTGTCCTGTACTAAGTACTCAAACCCCCATGTGGAGACACAATATAGAGAGGAAACAGTCAGTCCAAAATGGACATTCCTGTGTGTATAAAGAGAAATCAACCCCACCAGAACTCAGAGACTCCAAAGAATCACTTACTGTATATGTGGAGGTACACATGTGCTTCTTGAGTTTCAAACTGTGCATTTAAGGTTCGTAGGGTGTAGAATCCAGTGTCCTTCTGGGCAGCATATTGGAACAGTAGAGATCCATTGGGGTACATAGTCTCTCTTCCACTGTGTGCAGGCCCCAGCATAGTTTTATTACTGGTTACTACATTCTGTGCAATTTTGGTACTTTTAACAATTGGTATCCCTTTATACCAGACAAAGGATCGAAGGTTCTCTGGGATATTATAAACAAGTAGGAGAGCATTTTCCCCTTCAACAACATTGCGTGGCATTGACTCAATAGTGAGCTGAGCGGGAGGGAGCCGGCAAGCTACAAGGGAGGATAGAAGAGAAGAGAAACAAATTCATCAATACTGAGAACTTTGTTTCTGGTGTAATGTGAAGTTTAGGTCCATCATTCGGCTGAAGTGGGTGGGCATGTCTGTAAACTCAGAGGTGCCTTACTTCACTTCTTCCTTACAGACCCCAGTCTTCACATTCTGCCCTCTTTGATCTCTTCCCTCTTTGGATGCCATCAACCCCTGACATCAATTATAGATGGGCTTCCTGGTCCGTCTTCAATTCACTAGAGATGGAGCCTTGTTAGAAAATCTACTTTGATCTTTTTGGAAGGCCTAAGGCATGGACTGGCTCAGAAAAATGTGGGTGGATGGGGAAGAATGAATGTTCATGGATTTGCAAGTCCAGGTGTTTATGAAATTCTCATGTGTGGAGCTACTGACACCAGTTACAACTCCAGCTTACATTATCTTATGCATGTGTGGGGAGTCAGTGTGTGGGTCTGGGTGTGTATGAGTGTGAGTGTTTGTGCAGGAGCAGGTGGATGACATCCTGTGTGTATGCGTGAATGCTTGTCATAGTACCTAGATGGAAGTCAGGGAACAACTTGAGGGAGCCTTTCCTATCCTTCCACCTTAAAATATTCTACCTAGTCTATGAGCTCCCTCCCCACTCACTACCAGGCAGTGTTCTCTTCACCTGTGAGCAAAAGCCACTACCAGGGCTGCAACCTTTACAGAGAAGCACACAGTGAACCTCCATGGTGGCTACAGCCTGCTCTGCCCTCCCTCTGTGGTGAACACCTTTTGGTCCAGCACTTACCCCAATCCCTACAGCCTTCCTTCCTCTGAGCTCAGCCTCCTGACAGGCTGGATGTTGTCCAAGGCCATTCTCTGTCCCTTCAACTCTTAGTCCTGCCTGGTTTCCCAGTTAACTTCTCTCTATATTTTTTTCAGTCCTCCAGACCATGCAATGAGCAACAAGGTTGATAATCATCTCTGTGCCCTAGGGCAACAACAATTCACGCTCTCCTCTGCTGTGTTCTACCAACCTGTCCTTTATGACACAGATTCCTAGCTGAGTGCCTAGTCTGCCCTGTGATCTCAATGCTCTGAGAAGGTGAGATTTACTCCCTGCAGGAAGGTGACAGAGATGTATGTGAGTACTAGAAAGGACCCTTCTGACTCATGGCTGGACAAGGTACAGAACCATTCTTAATGGAGTCAACGGTCAGGGCACATTGTCATGAAGCCCAATAGGAGAATCATGAGGATGTGAAGCAGGAGGTGACCTGAGTTCTGCAGAGAGGGCAGTGGCTCATCATCCTAGGGAGATTACATAGAGACCCTTAATCTTTCTATGAAGGCTGAGCTATGCCTTGGGTCTCTCTGTGTCCTTCCTTGGATGCAGCTGACCTCTGTCTAGGTGTAGTCCTCAAGGGATGTGGCAGTAGTTGGCGGGGGGGGGGGGGGGGGGTAACACAGGATTCTCTGGCAGAGAAGTATGCTTAGAAACACAGGAAGGAACCAGTAGGTCTAAGAGGGCTGTCATTGACCTCCAGGTCTGTAAGGGAGGAGGATGGAATTTAGGCTACGGTTAATCTCATGGTTCCAGGATATACTTTTCTACATGTTGATTCTGTGTCCTATAGCCACCTAGTGATAACTAGAGGAAATGCACAGATGTCTTGGAGATGTCCAGATAAGCACCTCTTACTATTTGCCTGCCAGAGAGAATTCAAATGCTGGACACCAGAGGAAAATCACTTGCTAGGAGGACTTGTGTCCTTTTTTCCTCCCCTTTGGGACCCTGATCTTCCTGTGAGGTCTTATGATTTCATCAGGACAGCTAGTTAATGGTCTGGGCACCTGACCAGCTGTACTCTCCACATGTGGTCTCTGGTGAAGATAATCCAGGGGACTCAGCCTAAGCATACCTCTCATGACCATGCACTAGCTGGTTCCACATACCAATAAAGCCCTGTTCCTTGTCAGCTCTAAAGGGAAGATAAGTCCCATAAGTGACAAAAAGCTCCCAAGTGTTTTCTGGAGTCTATCCAGGGACAGAGATTTGCAGCCAGGGCTTCCCAGAGCCCTGTGTGAGGATCCCATGACTTCCTCAACTGGGGACTGCTTGACCCTCGGAGATCCTTTCAGGAATCATGTGCATGGTGACACCTCCAAGGGTCTGCATGGAAGCTAAAATCCTGGGGCTGAGTTTACCCAGCACAGATATTCTGCTCTGTAGGTAAAGACAGGTGAGGGGTTCTGATACATTACAGTTTTTCCAAATTGTGTGTGTCCTTCAGTAAGGGCTTAAACCCCAGTGGGGGGGGAGACACAATGCAGAGGGGGAGAAGCCAGGCACAGCTCAGTCCTAACAACCCAGTGTACAAAGTAGGATAAGCCACACCCAGCAGCTAGAGGCCGTAGAGAATCACTTACGGTTCACATGGAGCTCCACGTGTATTTTTTCAGTTTTGAAAACTCTGTTTAAAGTTTGTAGTGTGTAGAATCCTGCATCTTTCTCTGTTACATTCTGGAGGAGCAGTGATCCATTGCTGTACATTATGGTTCTACTGCTGTGGGCATGCCCCTGGGTGATAGAATTTGTGACGCTGCTGTATTCTGCAATTTGCAAAACGTGGGTGCTATATATTGATTTGTACCAGGAAAAGGTTTGAAGATCTTCTGGCAGATTATGAACAAGGAAGAGAACGCTTTCCCCTTTAGCAGCATCCCGTGGCACCTGTTCTATGGTGAGTTGGGCAGAAGTGACATCCTTGCAGCAAGCAGAAAGGGAGGCTGAAACACACAAGAAAAACAGTTATCACAAAGATCATTGTGTTTGGTGGAAAGATGGCAACCTTCATCCTAGGCAGGTGGATTCATCACTCACCCTGAAGATGCAGGTGTGGGTGCTTCTAACCCACCTGGTGGGTGTCAACAACATGACCACTAATCCCTCAGTGCTCTGGAATATGTCATCTCCTCTACAAGGAACTCCCTCCTGGGGTGTCTCAATGGCTGCCCCTCACTGCCCTCAGTCAAGCACTGTGCACACCTAGCACACTGAAGTTGAGATTATGCCTCCTCTGAACTTTTTCTCCACAGACCCCACATCTTCATCCTTGTTTTTTTTTCTCAGTTTCCTTTGTGATTCCAGTCAACCCCTGACTTCACCTTCTAGATGTCCTTGCTGCTCTGCCCTGAAGCCCATAAGTCTAGGACTGGGTGGGGTCCAGGAGAAGTCTGATATCATTGCTGGCTCAGGTATTAGGAAAGACTTAGAGTCTAGGATGGCTGGATTTAAGTCAACTCACACAAGCTACAGTCGATTTGAATGAGGGGGACTCAACTGAAAATGCCACCACCATATGGGTCTGTTGGAAGTCTAGAGTTCAGTGTTTATACTGGTGGTAGTTGTGGGAAGGTCCAGTCTATATAAAGCAGTTTGACTCCTATACTCAGGGTTCCAGAGTTCTATAAGAGGCCTGGCTGAGCAAGCAATCAAGAACAAACTAATAGGCATCGCTCCTTTATGGTCTCTGCAACAGGTCCTAGATTTTATTTATGAAATTCATATTTGGGAAAATAAATATCCCAGTTATACATGGGCAGCCAAAAAACCATTACTCCCATTTAGCTCTCCTAGGCATTAATATTCTAGCCCTGGCAAATGCTATGATCACTAGTAGTTGAGCCTAGGAAAGAGGAGTGTGGCCAGAGCTTCCAAGTGCTCACCTCTCTGTTAAGATGCCAAGTTTTCCTCAACCATCCCCTGATTAATGCCTACAGCGGCTTTCTAACTGAAATTTGCATTGAGATCCCCATGAGAATGAACGTATTCTGACATCTTTGACTGAGTTACTTTCGTGCCAAGGACTTTCTATACATGGGTGAGTCAAATGATGGAGTATGATCTATTTGCCTCCATCATGTGTGTTCTCCACTAAGTGCTCAACGACCAACATAGTAACACTATATACAGGCCAGCAAAGACTGTGCTGTGTGTCTAAGCCCCCACAGCACACTGAATAATTACAGAAAATCACTTACTGTCCAACTGGAGATGAATATGCACTATTTCAGGTTTCATATCTGTGGTTACAGTTAGGAGAGTGTACCATCCGGCATCTTTATAGGTGGGACTATGGAGCAGCAGGGATCCATTGCTGTACAGTGTCTCTCTGCCACTGTGTGCAGGACCCGGCACACTAGAATTTGTGGCTATTATATGTTTGGCAATCTCACGGCTCTGGGACACACGATCTCCTTTGTACCAGAAAATACCTCGAAGATTCTCTGGGAGATGATGAACCACTAGAAGAACACTTCGACCTTTAGCAATGTTAGGTGGAACTGATTCAAGAGTGAGCTGGGCAGAGGTGGGATGGTATCCACAATGGGAGGCTAGAAGGGAAGAAAGATCCATTAGTAGCAGAACTTTTGTATTTGCCTCATTTGTTCCCTGTGTCCTGCGCAGATGTGTCCACTACTCAGCCTAGGTGAGTGAGTGTCTTCCTGTCCTACTGGGTGAAGGTCAGCACATGACCTCTATGCATTCAGCGTCCCTGCACATGACATTTTCTCTGTATGGCACTATCTGCTCTATTGTCAACAGGGTCCTGAATCTCTGCCCTCAGACCACTGCTGACATTCACTGTAGATTGCTGTTGGGGGGATGACGTTCTGGTTTGCTTCCCTATAGATATTGACAACTGACTCTCTGGCTTTCTGTTCTTTATGTTCTTTCCTCTTGTGGTTCCACTCAACACCTGACTTCAAGTACACTTAGTAGGGTTTTGTGAAGATCAGGACTAATCTCATTTTTTGGAAGGCATGCTACCTAGAAAAGATTCTGACACCTGGGGAGAATGAATGAATGAATGAATGAATGAATGAATGAATGAACGTGACAATAAATAACCAACGTTCCAATCAGAATGTCTAGGTTTTTTTAAATGAAAGAAACTCTTAGCTTTGTGGCTAATTGATTTTCCAGTTTGACTTATTTTTTTACATATACTTCCATTTCATGTGTGTGTGATGCTCTGCCTGTGTGTGTGAATTCATGTAGGTGTGAACACATGTGCATTTCTACATAGATGTGTATATGGCCAGGTGCATGCCACAGTACTTATATGTGGGGAAGAGGACATTTTTGAGGAGTAAGAAGGTTCTTCCATCTACCACATTGGAGTTGAGGATAAAACTCAGGTCACCAGGCCTGGCAGAATTTGCCTTCACTCATTGAAAGACTTCACTGACCCACCCAGGACAGATTCTTTTCTGTGTCACCCTGTCATAGTTGGGAACATCAGCCTTCAGAATGCAGTAGCCAATGTGATTGCCATTGAACAGAAAACAATCTGGCTTTCATCTGCACCCTTACCATTTCCTGTTCATTGAGAACTTCCTGCAGCTGAACTTCTGTGCATCTTAGTGTCATCTCCACTAAGGGGGAAAGAAGACACCTTGATTCTCCTTCAGACTCTTGTCTTCCTTGGGACTCCAGTACTGAGCACCCCACTTTTACACACTGTCAGGAATTCTCTCTTCATTTAGGAGACTAGCCCTTGTCCATAGGCCCCTTGAACAAGGTAGGGATCTTGATCCCTGGAACAGGTGTGTCTCCAAAGGATCCAGCACTGCCACCACACTCCACTGTCCTGGAGTCACTTCTTCCCAGAGTCAACTGCACTGTTCCAGAGTCAGCTCTGCTGTCCTGAAGTCACCTCTGCTGTCCTACCTTTCTAGACCTGAGCCTGCTATAAGGCAGAAGCCCCTCCCAGAGTCACCTGGGCTGTGGTTGGGCCCTTGTCCAAAGTACTGCTGTCTCCTCCCCTTAGAATTGCTTGGTGATTCTCTTCCCCGATCTCTTTCGTTATGTTTCAGTCCTTCAGACCACAGATGTAAACAACAGGCCAATAATCATCCCTGTGCTCTGAAGTGTAATAGCTCACCCCAGGGCTGACCTCTGCTGTGTCCTGGCCTTGGCTCTGTAGCACCGAAGGGGGAGGGGGGACTTTGTCTTCCCTATGCATTCTTTGTGACACAGAAACTCTTCTGTCAACCCAGTTGTCCTCATGTCCTCAATGCTCTGGGAAGGTGGAATTAGCTCTCAACTAGAAGGCAATGGATGTCTGTGAAGGCTGGAAAGGGACCATCTGAGTGATGCCAGGGGAAGGACACTCATCGCTTATGACTAGGGTCACCATTTCAGGGTCTCAACCAGGACAGATATCCCGGAACAGTTTTATCAGGAAAGTCATGTCTTGTGTGTGGAGAAGGTCACCTATGTCTTGGACAGCTGTTGACTCACTCTGCTGTGGAGGGTTTCAAATGGAAACATGAATTCCAGCCTCTTTTGTTGTTGGCTAAGGTATAGTTCGGGTCTTCCCATGTCGACTCTGACAATTTAGGGATGTCTCTATCCTTTGCTTGGTAATTCCCCTGTGGTCACCCTCTCTTTCCCTAAAGAAGATGCTAGAAGGAATGAGGCTTAACATGAACCCCTAGCATAGAACTGTTCTCAGAATGGCCTTGTGAGAGGGACTTTAGGTCTGTAGTGACAGAAATGGAAATCACACAAGTTTCTTTCATCTTCTCCAGGAAAGCAGCATCCTAGAGTTTGACTGTGAGCTAATATCACCCCCTGGAGATTGACAGGATGACTGGAGCTCATGTCTGGGAGCTGGCAAGACCAGCAAAGCCTGTTACTACTTGGCTGCCTGAGGGAATTCCCTGGATTGGACCCCAGAAGACAAGCACTTGCCAGGGGGATCTGTGTCCTCTCTTCTTCACCTTGGGGACCCTGACCTTCCTGTGAGTCTTATAAGTCCATGAGGACAGTTGACTGCTGGCCTGGGCACATGTCCAGCTCTGCTCTCCATGCTGAGTCTCAGAAGGAGGTAACTAGGTGACACACCTTCAGTGTGACTCTCATGACAATGCACTGATTGGTTTCAAATGCTATGAGATGTGGATATTCAAAAACCATTATTCCCTGTCAGCTCCATAAGGAAGTAAGAGTCCAAACCTGGTACATAAGGAACTAAGGGTCCCAAGGATCACTTGTAGTCAATCCTCAGACAGAAGTCTGGAACAAAGGCTTCCTGGTGCTCACCTCTCTGTGAGAATGCCAACATCTGCCGGATGCCAACATGGTCTCATTCTGAATCATGTTCATGGTGAGAACCCCAAAAGACAAGATTGAGTCTAATGCTACTTGTACAGACTTACCCTTTCTCATCACACATCACACACACACACACACACACACACACACACACACACACACACACCCTTTTCTGAGGGTAGAGTGAGGGCAAGAGTCTGATCTATGGCCATTTGTCTCTAGTATGTGTGTCCTGCACTAAGTGCTGAAATACTAAAGTGGAGACACAGTTCAGAGTGGAGGCATGCACAGACCAAGCAAGAGAGTCCTGTGAGTCCACACACAACCCAGGACTGAATGATCTTGAGAATCACTTACTGTCCAATTGGAGCTGCACATGAGCTACTTCAGCTGCCAGATCTGTGGTCAGAGTTAATAGGGTGTAGAATCCAGCATCCTTCCAGGTGACATTGTGGAGAACCAAGGATCCATTGCTGTACACTGTCTCTCGACCACTGTGTGCAGGGCCTGGCACACTTGAATTCTTAGCTATTATGTGTCGGCCAACCTCATGGTTTTTGAACACATTAATTCCTTTATACCAGGAAAGGGCTCGAAGATTCTCTGGGAGATTGTGAACCACTAGAAGAACACTTGACCCTTTTGTAACTCTGGGTGGCACTGACTCAATAGTTGGCTGGGCAGAGGTGAGATGACGCCCACAGTTCAAAACAGAGGCTGAAAGAGAAGAAAGATTGATCAATAGTTGGACCTTTATATTTGGCTAAGATGAGGCCCTGTGTCCTGAGCAGGTGTGTCCATAGCTTAGCTTGGGTGTGTGGGTGAGTAACTTCCTGTCATTTACTGACTTCCATGTCTTCAGTGTCCCTGCACATGTCATTTCCCCTGTATGGCGCTCTCGGCTCAGATGTCAACATAACCCCAGTTTAAAGCCTCAAACTACTGCTCATATCAGTGTAGACTGGTGTTGGGAACAAGTCTCCCTGACCTCTTCTAACAAGACCTTGACACCTGACTCTCTGGCTTTTATGTTCTTTCTTCTTGTGGATCTAGTCAATACCTGACTTCATTTTCTAGCTTTCTTTAATTCCAGCCCACTAGGACTAGGGAATAGTAAGAACCTAGATTCATCTTATATTTTTTTAAAGAAATGGTGCCTAGAAAAACTCAGATACCTGTGGAGAATGAATGAATGAATGATATCCTGTGTATGCTCATGAACGTTTAAGAAATTCATAGGTTTGGGAATACAGAGTTGAATGTTTCCATTTGCTTTGATTTTTTACACTCACTTGTATTTGTCTGTGAGTTTGTGTTCGAGATTGTGACTCAGGTTATGGGAGTGAGTGCAGGATACAGTCCTAGGTGAATGTCAGAGGACTTGTGTTCATTAGTCTCAGCATGTCAGACATTTAAGCAAGTGCTTGTATCTAGTGAGCCATGTCACTGATCAATTTAAGCTTAATTATTCTTCTTTAGGATGCCAAGGTGAGGACATCAGTGTTCAGTTATTGTCATCATGCTGATTAAACTTGGGTAAGAACAATCCCCTACCCCCGTTACTTTTTCAGATTCACCAAGGATAAGAGTAAGTTACCTGCTGCTGAGCCTCTGGCCTACACTTTGTCTTCTTCTCTACAAACACTGAGACTCCTCTCAGGTCCTTCTTCCCTTAGGAGACTCCAGAGGGTAGGTCAATCCTCTCTTCCCATATCCTGTCCACTCATGGTCTCCTCACCTGTGATCAGGAGCCCCTGAGAGTCCGTGACTCTTTGCAGAGGGAAACAAAGGTGCATCCCTAGACGTTGTGGCCTGATAGACCCTTGCTCTGTGGCACATCTCCTCCCAGACTCTGCTACCCTTCCTTCATGTGAACTGAGCCCTCTCCCAGGATGGAGCATCTCCCAGAGTTTCATGGGCTGTGGGGTTCGCTATTCAAAATCTTGCTCTGTCCCCTTACTTTCAGTGCTGCCCCATGTCCCTCTCTACTTCTCTCTTTACATCTCAGTTCTCCAGAACACACAGTGGTCAGAAGGGCAGATGAGCATCCCTGTGCCCTGAGAGAACAGCAGCTCACCCTGGGGCTGCCCTCTGCTGTGTCCTGGCCTTGAACTGTCAGCACCAAAGAGGAAGCCTCTGCACTCCGTGTACAACAGAGAATCCCAGCTGGGCACCCAGTCTGCCCTGTGTGCTCGGTTCTCTGAAAAGAAGGAATATCCTTTAGCAGGAAGGTGACAGAGGTGACTGCTAGGTCTCAAGGGATGAGCTGAGTGAGGCAGGAAGAAGGGAACAGATCCATTCTCACTGCAGTTATTAGTCAGGGTTCTGACCATGACAAAGGCTCTTATGCAGATGAGTCAGAAGCCTCACATCCTATGTGTGTGGGAGGAGGTGACCTGGGTCCTATAAAGAGAGCTCTGGGCTCCATCATCCCATGCAGGGTTTCATGATGATGCTCCCATTTCTTCTGTTTGCTGAGCTATGTGCTGAGCCCATGTGCTCTTTGGCCTCTAAGATGCCTTGGACCTCTGTCTAGGTGATTCCCCTTGGCTATCCTATCTTTCTTGAAGGAAATATATAAGGTCTGGTACTCAACACGATCCCCTGGCACTACAGAAGATGCAGAAAGCAATGAGAATGTCTGCGAAGTCTGTGTCACTGACCTCCAGTCTGCAGGGAGAGGGATGGGAGCCAGGATACAAGGTAAGTTCCATTTTAGGGAAATACCTTTCAGAGTGTTGATTGTGTGTCCTGATTCTCCCCCTGGTAACCACATCGGGAACTGCAGCTCACCTCTGGGGAGCTGTTGAGATCAGACCTTGAAGACATTTACCAAAAAGAAAGAATTTCCTGAAAGAACTCCCTGAGCTGAACCACAGAGGACAAGCACTTGTCAGGCTGACATTTGTCCTCTGTCCCACTCCTTCATGACCCTGACTTTCCTGTGAAGTCTCATAAACCTATCAGGACTGTTAATGGCTGACACCTGTCCAGCTATGCTTTCCTCTTGAGTCTCTGGAGAAGATGTCCAGGGCATCTAGCCTAACTATGGATCTCATGACAGTGCACATGGCACAAAACTTGAGCTAGTAGAAATCACTGTTCCTGATCATAGGAAGTCAAAATCCAAAAATGCTTCTCATGGACACCTGGAATTGAGTCTGGGACAGAGGACTGGAGCCAGGAATTCCTGGTGCTCCCCTCTCCCCGAAGATCCAGTGTTATCCTCAATCAGGCTCAATGTTGATTTCCTCAAGGTCTTTCTCATGGACACATTCCTGGTTAAGAACCCCAAGAGTCTAGACAGAGGATGATATCCTAGGTGAGTTACCCACCACACGTTCTCTTGTGTGCAAGGGCTCTATTCTACTGCAGTTATTCTACACAATTTAATGTGTCCTGCACTAAATTCTCAAACCCCAACATGGGGACACAGTGCAGAGAGGCGGTATGCGTATGCCAGGTCTAACACTTCTGTGTATGTCCAGTAGATTGAACCCCACCCAGCATGGAGAATTCACAAAGAATTACTTACTGTACACATGAAGGTGTATGTATATTGTTGATATAAATTTTACTTTTCTACTTCTGGTTTCTAGTATATAGAATCCTGTGTCCTTGTGGGTGACATTTTGAATCCACAGGGATCCATTTGGGTACACGGTCTCTCTACCGCTGTGTGCTGCCCCCGGCACAGCAATATTGTATTTCAGTGTGTAGGTCGCAATTTTATGGTCTATATCTGCTTCTTCTTTAAACCAGGATATGGTTAAAAGATTGTCTGGCAGATTGTGGACAAGAAAAAGGTTGCTTTCTCCTTCAACCACATGGGCAGGCACTGATTCAATGGTGACGTGGGCAGTGGTGGGCCGGTACCAACAGGTTAAAAGGGAGACTAGAAAGAAAGGGATAAAAAGTGTCAATATTGAGCAGGTGTGATCATAACTCAGTTGAGGCATCTGGCTGGTGGTGTGTCCACCCTCCTTGACGGAGATGAGCAACATGACCTCCATTTTTCAGAGCCTCTGACTGTGTCCTTTCCTTTTCCCAGAATAATCTTCTCACTTCTCTGCCTGGCTCCCCTCCTCAGTATTCCCATAGCTCTCCTCACATAAGGAGTATTTGGAGTGATGAAGCCACTCTGACCTCCTCCTCTATTTGGAATCACCGTGCCACGATTGGGGACATCAAGCTTCAGAACATGGCAACCAATGGACTCCCTTTGGATGAGGAGTGTTTGGGGCTTTGCTCTTCCCCTCATCACCTCCTGTCCTCTGAGAGCTTCAGGATTCTGAGTCTCTGTCCCTCACTGCACCTCCTGCACCATGACTGCAAACAGAAACCCCTAGTCTTCTCTCAGGATCCTGTCCTCTTGAGTTCTCCTCCACCCCCACAGTCAGAGAGGGGGTACACTTACCTGTGAAGAGTAGTCCCTGCCAGGGGGTGCAGCCCTTGCAGGGAATCATTGAGGACTCCACCATCTCTCTTCTCACTGTGCTGTTCTTCGTATTAGGAGAAGAGATTCAGCTACTACACAGCTCCCAGGCTCTTCTGTCCTTCCTCCTTCAGAGATGAGCACTCTCCCAGGTGGGAGCATTTCACACACCACAATGGACTGTCAGTTGTTGGATCTGTGTCCAAGGCACTGCTCTGTCCCTTCCACTCTCAGGGCTGTCCCACATTCCTCTCATCTTTTCTTTCTTTATGTTTAGTCTCCAAGCAACACATTGAGCAACAAGGCTGATAAGCATCCCCGGGCCCTCAGAGAACAATCACTCATCTCAGGCCTGACATCTGCTCTGTCCTGGCCTTGGATCTGTCAGCGCACAAGAAACCTCCATCCTGCCTGTGTGTCCTTGTAAAACAGAGACCCAGCTGAGCATGTGGTCTGCCCTGCATCCTCAGTGCTCTGAGAAGGTGGGATTTACTCCCCAAAGGAAGTGGACAGTCTCTGAGGTCTACAAAGGGACCAGCTGAGTGATGACCAGGGATGAAGAGCAATCCTTTATCACTAATGTCATTAGTCAAATTCCTGACCCAGGAGAGTGGCCTAGGAGCCATTGTGTGAGGAGTTTCATGTCCTCAGTGTTGGGGTAGATGTGGGGCCACTCTTTTTATGGAGAGCTAAAAGGCAGCCTTCAGCATTATATGTTGGCTGAGCTGTGTTGTGTGAGCCCATGTCCTCCCTGATCTTCCTGGGTCACCTTTGTCCTTTGCCTAGGTGAATCCCCAGGGCAATCTTGTTTTCCCCTATGAGAGATACCATGAGAGAGGGGGCTTTCAGGTTCCCCATGCATAAAGATGTTCTAAGTCACATGAAGCAGCCAGTAGTTCAGAGCAGGGTCTAGGGACAGGAACGGAAATGAGTCTCCTAGACAAGGTCATGGCTCATGGAAACAGTATTCTGATTATTGAGTTTGTGTCCTGATATCATCCTCCCACTTGGAGATCACTGGGGAACTGCAATCTCTTGACTAGGACTATATCAGGCAAGGTCAACAAGTCAACTGTAAACTTCCCTGACTCCCTCAACACAAGTGTGAAGCAGGGCCTGTCGTCCCGTTCACTCTTCTCTCCAGAACTCCTCTTTCCATCTACTGTAGGGTGGGTTAAGAGTAGCCCCCCAGGTACCTGCCCCATGGGGTGTTCTCCCAGAGACTTGGGGAAGATGCTTATAAGTAGATGGAAATCTAATCTGAGGGATATCAAAGGAATCTTCGAATGCAGATCTCTTTCAGTCCATTCACTTTATTCTTCTAAGTCAATTCTCTCGGCCTCTGATCTCTCTGCTGTTCTCTCTTTGTTCTACCTTAGTTCTCTCTCTCATCCTTCTCTCTTGCCTGACTTCTCACATTTCTAACAGGAGACTCCTTGCAATCCTGAGAAAAGTTTTAAAACCATCAAGGTCATAGCACACTCCTAGAAGAGATGATAAGGAGCAGAGCCATTACCATAGTAACACAAGGTTTCCAGTCTCAGGACCAGAGGGAGGGGGTGCAGTGCCCAATGCAACAAACTCTGAGACATAATTTTTCATCAGCAGACTTAGAAAGCAAGGAATTGGCAGGCTTTTCTTGGGGTGCTTTGTGTTAGTAACCTTGGTAGACACCTGCAGCTCTGACCTTGCGCATAACTGTAAAGTTTTAAAATTATAATCTATATACAAAGAACTTTAGTCTAGTTGAAATTTCTCTGAGACAAAAATGAGCTAAATATATGCAGTTTGTGTTAGACTGAGGAGAGATTATTATTTTCTGTGTTAATCTGAGCAAAAGGCACAAAGCAGGTTTAAGTGTCTAGAGTCTCGTGGGACAATGGATCTGTCTATGAAGCATATTCTAGTGTATTTTCTATATATCAAAATTATACAGCTAAATGAAAAGTCATGTTCCTCACCACCCAGGGATATATGTGCCCATAAGACTGAGATGTAATCATGAGATGACATACATACATTACATGAAGATGCATGGTAAATGGGAAGACCCTAGCTGTTCTTGTACAAGAAATCTGCAACAAGAAACAGCCAAGTCCTTCAAAAGTCAATAATTCCAAAACACCTTGCATGATGGATTCCTCCAACAGAACCCTTGGTTTTGAGAGGTTGACCTTCAGAACACTACTTGTCACCTGCTGCATACTCCCATGGCCTTTGGCTACCAGCAGCTCAATAGTGGGTCTAAGTAAGGTTTCAGGTTTTTCCTGGGAAATCCATGACAAAAGTTGAAATAGTGTGCATTCAGAGGTTAGGCAGCCTTATCAGAAAATTTCAAAGGAAAGTCCTTGGAAATGTCTCTCAAAGGACAGAACACCAATGTATGGTGGCACATGCACTTTCTGGCCCATCACTGGTGTCTAAATCCTTCCTTCTCTTTGCCCACAAGGTGCTGAAGGGTCTGCTCTTTAGTACAAAGAACATCGATTCACATGGATGTGTCTTCTGGTCTTCCCTATACCCTGTTCTATTTCTTTCTCTTGGAATAAAGCAACCACAGTTTAAGAGAGAGTAAACAGTCCATTTTCTTTCTGATTTGGGACAGAGTGTAGCACTGAAGGAAGTCAAGCCAGAGAACATGCTGCTTGATGCTTGCTCTCTGCTTCATGCTTAATTAGCTTTCTTATAAAACTAAAAGACCATATGCCTAGGCTGCCCACAGTGGCATGGGAACTCCTGAATCAATTAGGACAATCCCTCAGAGATGTGTCCACATCCCAACCTGATAAAGACAGTTAGTTACTCTGTTGCATCTTTTTCCCCCAAGTGACTTTGGCCTGTGTCAAGGTGACAGTTAATGCTAACTAGGAAAATGTTTTAAACTTCCAAGTCTTACTCTTTCACATGGATATTCCACAGGACGTTTTCCATTCTCCAAGAGAGTGTCTCTCTTTGTTTGCTGTGCCCATCACATGTGCTGGTATTCACTGCCCTTCACATCTGGACCCTCAGAGCCAGGACACAGCTCAAGGACATCTGAACTGGGCTTCACTTTTCTCACTTCCCAGATCCTGAGCCCACTGTGATGTCCACCACAGACACTGTGAAGAGTAAGTGAAACAACATCATCAAAGCATTAGCTTCATCCCTAATCAAGTCTGGCCTCCCACACAATTCATCACCTGCACCTTCTAGCTCCATTGGAATCAGAGTAGAAGCCAATTACAAGCTAAGACAAGACAGAATCTAGGAGCATATGGCATAAAGAAACATGAGCATGTTTCCAAGTTCTGGGTGTTCCTTTTGGGTCATGGAGAACATAAAAGCAAATGGTGGGAACAGGAAGGCATGAATTACTGATTTAAATATACGTGGCCTAAAGTACAGTCCTTCTCCTTGAGACTTAGATTTTGGATTCTTCTCTTTCTTCTATTATTATTATTCCTAGGTTTAGCCTTTACATAGTGTCCCAGATTTCCTAAATATTTTGGGTTATATTTTTAGATTTAACATTTTCTTTGACTGATGAGTTTATGTCTTCTATCATATTTTCAATGCCTGAAATTCTCTCTTCCATCTCTTGTACTCTGTTGGTGATATTTACATCTGTAGTTCCTGTTCACTTACCCAGATTTTTCATTTCTAGAATTCCCTTACTTTTTTGTTTCCTTTATTGCTTTGATTTCAATTTTCAGGTCTTCAATAATTGCTTTCACCTGGTTGCTTGTCATTTTTTTGGCTTTATTGGCATTCACTAAGGAATGTATATATTTCCTACAATTATGGTTACCTTTTCCTCGAATTGCTTAAGGGTGTTTCTCTTTTCCTCTTTAACGACCTCTATCATGTTCTTAAAGTTGTATTCAAGGTAATTTTCTTGTGATTTGACAGAGTTGGAATGTTCAGGTCTTGCTATCATAGAAAGGCTGGGCTCTGGTGGTGTCATGTTGCCCTGACTGTTGTTAACTGCATCCCTACACTGATGTTCAGGCTTCTGGGTTTGGATTAGGTCTGGGACCTTGTTTTTTTTTATTTTGTCTTTGTAGGACTGGCAGTTTGTTCCTTGGTTACTGTTCCCTCCTTGGTCTTCTAGTCTTCGTGGCCTGGATTTCTTGTGGCCAGCATGACTTCTGATCTAGTATGGAGCCTCTGTCCAAGTTGGGAGATGGGTGATTAGCTTGTTGTTTGGTGCAGCAGGGGCATCTCTGTTCCTTTGACTGGTGTGGTCTGTATCTGTTCTTTAGACATGTGTGTACTGTGCATGAATATCAGAATTTAGTTAGGAATGTGGACAGGAACAGACAGCAGTGTGGGTGATGAACTGGGAAAGATTAGGTTGGGGGATGGGACTCTGGGAGCAGAATCTAAGGAGTGGGCCAGTTCATCAGGCAGATGGGTCACTCATATATTCATCTGACTGGTGTGGCCTGAGCTTCAAGACTCTATTCCCGAAACCAGGTGACTTGGGAGGTGTTAAGGTGACAGCTCATGCTAACTATGACAGTCTTTTAATCTGTTTAAATCCTCATCTTCCACAGGGTAGAATTCATAGGACATTCTCCATTCTCCAAGTTAGCCTCTACCTCTGTTTGTCATGGTCATCACAAGTGCTGCTCTCCACTCAGGGAACAGCTCAAGAACATCTTCCCTGAGTGTCACTTTTTCCACTCCCTGTGTCCCTTAGGTCAGGGACACTGTGATGTCCACCACAGACATTGTCAAAAGTTAATGAAACAGCATCATCAAAACATAGGTTTCATCCTTACACAGGAGAGGCCTCCCGGGCTTGTTTAGCACCTGCCTCTTTTGCCTTCATTGGATTCAGACCAACCAGTCAATGGCTAGACAGGACAGGATCTGGGAGCATTTGGAATAAAGGAACATGAGCATGGTTCAAAGCTTTGCAGAATCCTTCTGAGTCACAGCAATCATGAAAGCAAATGGAGGGGACAGGAAGACTTCATTTGACAACAGGAAAGTCTACTTGACTATAAGATCAAGTATGATAAAGAGACCAATGTTACCCTGCCTGTGAAGTTCCTCTCT